GTGGGGGTGGTAGTGGTGGTAGCAAAACTGGAACCCATTATTATTTGAAACCATTAGCACTGGGTCTCAATAAGACAGGAACCCATTAGAACAGAAACCCATTAGAGAGGAACCCATTAGACAGGAACCCATAAAGACAGGAACCCATTAAGACAGGAACCCATTAAGACAGGAACCCATTAAGACAGGAACCCATTAGAACAGGAACCCATAAAGACAGGAACCCATTAAGACAGGAACCCATTAGAACAGGAACCCATTAAGACAGAAACCCATTAAGACAGGAACCCATTAAGACAGGAACCCATTAGAACAGGAACCCATTAAGACAGGAACCCATTAAGACAGGAACCCATTAAGACAGGAACCCATTAAGACAGGAACCCATTAAGACAGGAACCCATTAAGATGATACAGCAGGTGTTGTCCCCAGAGGTTATACAGTGATTCACCAACGTTACTGTAGTGAGTCTGCTGTGATGAACTCTGCGGTGATTAACGCTGCTGTGATTAACGCTGCTGTGATTGGTTCTCTGCTGTGATTAACTCTGCTGTGATTGGTTCTCTGCTGTGATTAACTCTGCTGTGATTGGTTCTCTGCTGTGATTAACTCTGCTGTGATTGGTTCTCTGCTGTGATTGGGTCTGTTGTGATTTGGTGACTGCTCTCTCTCTCTCCAATATACAGCCCAAAATTAACAGCCAAGTAAATGATTGGATGGCTCTTTCTTTAACTATAGTGTGTGTGTGTGTGTGGATTTCTCCCACCCTCTCCTTCCCTCTCCTCCTGCTCTCCTTCCTTCCCTCTCCCTCCCCTACTCCCCTCCCTCCTCCCCTCTCCCCTCCTCCCTCCTGCTCCCCTCACCCCCTGTGCCGCGCTAAGTGTGGAGCGCCGTGTGTACAGTGTTAGTGTTGGTGCATCTGTTTTTTGTTGTGGTGTTGGTAAAGAGGAAGGGGGGAGGTCCTGCCCCTTGTCTCTTTGTCCGTCTCTTTCGCTTTCTTTTTCTTCTTAACCCAACTCCAACCTAGCCAACTAACCTAACCCAACCCAACCCAAGCCAACTTAACCCAATCCCAACCCAAGTCAACTTAACCCAACCCAACCCAAGCCAACTTTAACCCCTAACCCAAGCCAACTTAACCTAACCTAATCCAAGCCAACTTAACTAACCTAATCCAAGCCCTAACCTAACCTAACCCAACCCAAGCCAACTTCAAACTTAACCCAACCCAAGCCAAATTTAACAACTAACCCAACCAAGCCAACTTAACCTAACCCAAGCCGATCCTAACCTAACCCAACCCAAGCCAACTCAACCTAACCTAATCCAACAGCTCAACTGACCAACAACCTAACCCTGAAAAATCAAGCCAGCAACCTAACTAATCCAGGCCAACAACTAACCTAACTCAAGCCAACTTAACCTATAACCCTAAGCCCCAAGCTTTCAACTCCTGTCCCCAACCCAACCCAAGCATTGACAACTTAACCCGGCTTGGCCTAAACCCAAGCCAACTTAACCCAACCCAACCCAAGCCAACTTAAACCTAACCTAACCAACCCAAGCCAACTTTCAACCTAACCCAAGCCAACTTCAACCCAACCTGGGCCAACTTTCCAACCCAACCAACTCCAACCCAAAGCCACAACTTAACCTTAACCCAAGCCAACTTAACAGCCTAACCTGCCCTAACCCAACCCAACCCAACCTAACAACCTTAACTAACCTAACCCAAGCCAACTTAACCCTAACCTAACCCAAGCCAACTTAACCTAACCTAACCAGGTCAACTTAACCTAACCTAATCCAAGAATCCTAACTCAACCAAATCCAAGCCAACTTAACCTAACCAACCCAAGCCAACTTAACCAACCCAACCCAAGCCAACTTAACCAACCTAACCCAAGCCAACTTAACTCTTAACCCAAGCCAACTTAACCTAACCCAACCCAAGCCAACTTAACCCTCCAACCCAAGCCAACTTAACCCTAATCCAAGCCAACTTAACCTAACCTAAATTTAAAACCAGCTAAACCTACCAACCTAATCGGCCAACTTAACTAACTAAGTTAATTAACCCAACCCAAGCCAACTTAACCTAACCCTAAGCCCTTAACCTAACCTAAGCCAACTTAACCCAATCCCAACCCAAGCCAACTTAAGCCAACTCAATCCAAGCCAACTTAACCTAACCAAAGTCCCAAGCCAACTTAACCTTAACCCAAGCCAACAACCCCTAACCCAAGCCAACTTAACAACTTAACCTAACCAAGTCAAGCCAATTTAACCCCTCCAAGCCAACTTAATCCCAATCCCAACCCAAGCCAACTTAACCTAACCCAACCCAAGCCAACAATCCTAACCTAACAACTTAACCTAACCCAACCCAACAACTTAACCTAACCTAACCCAACTCAACCCAAGCCAATTTAACCTAACCCGTAACTTAATCTAACCTCAACCCCCAAGCCAACTTAACCCCTAACCTAACCCAAGCCAACTTAACCTAACCTAACCCAACTTCCAACTTAACCTAACCTAACCCAAGCCAATTTAACCCAACTATTAAAGCCAACTTAATCTAACCCAACCCGCTTCAACTTAACCTAACCCAAGCCAACAACCAACTTAAGTAACTTAACCCAAGCCAAGCCTTAACCAACCTGCGTCAATTTAACCTAACCCAAGCCAACTTAACCTAACCCAAGCCAACTTAACCTAACCTAACCCAAGCCAACTTAACCTAACCTAACCCAAGCCAATTTAACCTAACCCAAGCCAACTTAATCTAACCTAACCCAAGCCAATTTAACCTAACCCAAGCCAACTTAACCTAACCTAACCCAAGCCAACTTAACCTAACCTAACCCAAGCCAACTTAACCTAACCTAGCCTAACCTAACCTTAAAATATTAAATTATTGTTATTTAATAAATTAAATATAAACATCCTCTCAGTAGATCCTCATTAATTATTGTTTTAAATTGATTATATAATTACGATTATTTTTGTACATATATAATATACAAAGGATTAATTAACATTCTATGAATATTTTTAACCTTTGTAAAATAATAAATGGATAATTAATTTGTTGCTATTGTTATTAATTTGGATTTGTTAATTACTTCTATATAAAACTCACAGGTTAAGTTACTCTATAGAGCTGATAAGATCCCTCACTGACGAAACACATCTATCAGACAGGTCAGGACAGACAGACACTGTACTGTAAAGACACACACACACACACACACACACACACACACACACACATAGCGGTTGGCAGGGATCCGGAGATCATCTGGCTATATTACCAGGGCTATATAAGGCTATCCAGGCTATATGTGATTATACCGCGCTATATGATGCTATATGAAGCTATACCAGTGATATATTAGACTATACCAGGCTATATGATCTTATGTAAAGCTATACCAGACAGCTATATGAGACTATACCAGGCTATATGATCTTATGTAAAGCTATACCAGACAGCTATATGAGACTATACCAGGCTATATGATCTTATGTAAAGCTATACCAGACAGCTATATGAGACTATACCAGGCTATATGATGCTATGTAAAGCTATACCAGACAGCTATATGAGACTATACCAGGCTATATGATGCCACATGAGTCCCTATGAGGCTATACCGGCTTATATTATGTTATATTAGGGCTATATAATGTTTTGCTGGGCTATACTAGGCTATGTGGATGTAATGGTGTTGACCCCAGCGCTGTGTATAGCCTACTTATTATAATGTGAGTAGTGGTTGTAGTTGTGGTTGTGAGAGTAGTTGTAGTGGCTCTCACTTCTAGGGTGCTCAACTAATCGTTTTGTTTCAGAATTAAAAATCATCAGTATTATTTCATTATTAACTGGGTACTCTCCCTCACCCCCCCTTAATTCTCCGTCATTACAGTCATATCTTACAGTCACCTTATGTATCGTAGGGTCAGGGAGGCAGTCACTATAATCATCTCCCTGTAACTCTGGATATATGTACAGTCACTCAAAATAACTATCTGTACTCGGGGTGATCAATGAGTTTCAATATGAACACTGTGACTCCTGTTGTCTCGGTAGGGTTGTCAAAATGCTTCGTCCGTTGTGTCATAATTCTCAACACAATTTTGTATATATATATATTTTTGAGTGACTATGCGTGTTTAAGGTTCTATTATAATTGGTTCTATTATGTCTTGGATCTATTATAATTGGGTCTATTATGTCTTAGGTCTATTATAATTGGGTCTATTATGTCTTAGGTCTATTATAATTGAGTATTATGTCTTAGGTCTATTATAATTGAGTATTATGTCTTAGGTCTATTATAATTGAGTATTATGTCTTAGGTCTATTATAATTAAGTCTATTATGTCTTAGGTCTATTATAATTCGGGTCTGTTATAGTCTTAGGCTCATTATAATTGGGCTCCTATTATGTTCCAGTCTATTATAATTGGTTTATTATGTCTAGGTCTATTTATAATTGGGGCCTATTATGTCTGGATCTATTATAATTGGCTCTATTATGTCTTAGGTCTATTATAATTGGTTCTATTATGTCTTAGGTCTATTATAATTGGTTCTATTATGTCTTAGGTCTATTATAATTGGTTCTATTATGTCTTAGGTCTATTATAATTGGGTCTATTATGTCTTGGATCCATTATGATTAAATCTATTATGTCTGTTGGGTTTATTATAATTAAGTCTATTATGTGTATCGTGCCTTTTATGCTTAGAGGTCTATTATGCCTTGTTTCTAATATTTCAGGGTTCTTTTATGCCCTGGGGCCTATTACAAATGAGGGGAACGACCCGTTAACAGTGAGGGAAAGCGCCCATTAGACTAAAAGGGATGGACCCATAATCAGTAACGGAAAGACCCCCACATTCCCCCCTCTCCCCTGAGCCTTTAACCCGGATCACAGGAGAAACATTTGGTCCACCATTTCTTTCAACAGGTTAATCACTCTCCAACAGGTAGCGGTGATCCTGAGAGACAGACAGACAGGCAGACATCTTCCCCATCAGAAGAATTCGAGTTATAACGCCGAAAAACAGAGACAAAAAAAGACTTATTAAAAAAAAAAAAGAGTGAAGTAGGGGGAAAAAAAGGATAGCATAGAAAGACCATAGGAAGGGGGTCTTTACGTGTCCCATCAACTGTTTCTGCCAGTGGTAAGAGGGAAAGAAAAGTTATGTGTTAAGCCCTTAGGTGTACTGTATGTATGTGCCTGTTAAGATGGCCCGGCGCTCTGTGGCATGTTTACTGTTGATTAGTGGCGTAGTGAGTGTCTCTCTCTCTCTCTCTCTCTCTCTCTCTCTCTCTCTCTCTCTCTTTTTCTCTCTCTCTCTCTCTCTCTCTCTCTCTCTCATATCTCCATCTGTTACCCTTTCTTTCTTTCTTTCTTTCTTTCTTATATCTGTTACCTACCCTCCCATATCTCTCTCTCTCTCTCTCTCTCTCTCTCTGTATGTCGCAATCGGATCAGCTGGTGCTTGTCGGTGTATTCACGGCCTCCTGCTCCACACCACAACCACCATCCCTTCACCACAACCACCATCCCTTCACCAAAACTACCATTCCATTACCACAACCACCATCCCTTCACCACAACCACCATCCCATCACCACAACCACCATCCCATCACCACAACCACCATCCCATCACCACAACCACCATCCTTCACCACTACCACCATCCCTTCACTACCCATTCCATTGCCACAATCACCATCCTTTCACCACAACCACCATCCCTTCACAACTACCATCCCTTCACTGCAACCATCATTCCTTCACAACTACCAAACCGTCACCTCAACCACCATTCCTTCACCACAACAACCATTCCTTCACCACAACCACCATTCCTTCACCACAACAACCATTCCTTCACCACAACTATCATTCCTTCACCACAACCACCATTCCTTCACCACAACTATCATTCCTTCACCACAACCACCATTCCATCACCACAACCACCATGCCATCACAATCACCATCCCTTCACAACCACCAACCCATCACCACAACCACCAACCATCACCAGCCATCACACACCATGCCATCACAATCGCCACTACAACCATCATTCACCACCATCAACCACCAACCCATCACCACAACCACCATTCCATCACAATTACCTAACCGTCACTACAACCATCATCCCATCACCACAACCACCATCCCATCACCACAACCACCAACCCATCACCACAACCACCATTCCATCACAATTACCTAACCGTCACTACAACCATCACCACAACCACCACGGTCACCACAGAATAATCCAAGTCTTCCAGCAATGCTTCAACACTTAAACCCATTAATCAGACTTACAGCTTGTGTTAACAGAGCAGCGTCATGTAGATAAGCCTTTACTACCTCCAGCTGGTAGTTGAAGATGACATTTAATATAATTACACTGAGAATACATCCAAGGAAACTATTCATTATAGAGTGTAAATTGAGTCAGGACTGAGAAATACTTATAATATTTACAGTAAAACAAGAGTACAGACACTGCATGGTCGTGTTACCCAACTGATTTAGTCATTTATCTATATTAATCCTATATTGTGGCTCTCCATTAACAGAAGGATTACTTAGTATTCACCCCTAAGTATTCACCCCCAATGCTGGTGAATAAATTAATACCCAAATGTATTATACACAATGAATGAAACAAGATTACAATCACTCTCCTGGTCTCACATCCACACCCTGTATTTTCCCTGGAGTAAAACAGCTCCTCGACGTAAACAACTAAAACATCTTTTACACTTAAAATATTAACTTAAATCTTTTTAATATAAGTACATAATATTATATGAGGGGGACCGGTGGTAGAAGCGGTACCGTTCTTGCCTCGCAAGCGAGATGTCACGGGTTCGATTCCCGGGCCGGTGGAAGTTGTTTGGACATACTTCCTAGCCTCCATTAGTCCCTGTTCACCTAGCAGTAAAGTAGGTACCTGTTGTAAGTCGAAAGTTGCGAATTCGTATTCAGGGACAAGTTGTTGGAGCTTCCAATAACTTGATGACATAAACCACTGACTTCAGGCTTCTACGCCCTTAACTCATGAGACATAAAGGCAAGCATGAACTTAGCATGCTTCCCTGTTGGGCGCTGTAAACGCTTCTTCGCTTCACCTTACACAAGGATGTAGGGGAGTGCCCAATAAAAAAAAAATAGAATATGGTTACAAAATATTCGGAATTACCTACAACCAAAATAACTAAGTACTTACATCTTTCATATCTCCTCCTTCATAGAAAACCGCTTTTGCAACGGTGACTGAAACAAAATAAATATACAGCACATATCTTAATATTATGTAAATATACAGACATATGTACCTCCATTCCATCACCACAACCACCATTCCATCACCACAACCACCATCCCATCACCACAACCACCATTCCATCACCACAACCACCATTCCATCACCACACACCCTCCCCTTAACCCCTTACCGGACAAAACCACCTTGCAGGACACAATCACCTCTCTCTGCCGGACACAATCACCTGTGGTTCACGGATTCCTGTAGAGTTGGACGCCGCTGTATATTTATGTATTCTGGCCAGTTGTTGATGTATTCTGTGTTATGTATTATGTGTATTATTGTAGCTGTTGTTATCTGTTGCCTCGCGTTGTATACAGTAGATGTATAATGCATACTTAAGCTGTATTTGTGGGTGCATATGTAGGGTTGTCTTGTAGTGTATGACCCTGTATACAGAAGTTGTATGTGTAGGTATTTATTGAGGCTTGTTTGGTATACATGGTAGTGGTGTATGACTATGTATACTGAGCTCGTATTTCTAGGCAACTGTAGTGTTGTGGTGTATGAATATGTATAATTGACTCGTATTTTAGGTAAATAGGTAATTATGTATACACACTGTTTGTTGTATGCATGGTAGTACCTATGTATACTTAACACGTATTTAAGTAATTAGGGTTATTTTGTATACATGGTAATACCTATGTATACTTAACACGTATTTCCGTTATGTTGTAGAGGCGGTGTAGGTGTATCGTCTACATAATGTGGATTTAAAGGTGTTCAGGGTTGTGTTAGAGACGGGTGAGGAGCAGCTTGTTGTTGTTGTACACATAGAAAAACTATTTTGGTAACCATGGGTAGAGGTAGAGAGGTCATTTAGTGAACCGCAAGGAGGTATGGCCGCAGGGAGGTGTGGCCGCAGGGAGGTATGGCCGCAGGGAGGTATGGCCGCAGGGAGGTATGGCCGCAGGAGGTATGGCCGCAAGGAGGTATGGCCGCAGGGGGTAGGTATGGCCGCAGGGGTATTGGCCGCAGAGGTATGGCCGAGGTATGGCCGCAGGAAGGTATGGCCTGGGAGGTATGTGGCAAGGGGAGGTATGTGCAAAGGTAAAAATACTGTCGGCCTGATACCATAGTGTTAGATAGTAGTGGTGTGATAGTTAACATTAGGACTGTGGTCAGTGTTTGGTGAGGGTGATAATGTGATGTTTACTACTGGTGTAATGATGTTTACTGCTGGTGTATTGATGTTTACTGCTGGTGTATTGATGTTTACTGCTGGTGTATTGATGTTTACCGCTGATGTACCGTACCGCCTCGCTCAATGCTCAACGCAGCTAAAGGCTTTCAAGCTTTTGGTGTATGTAAACATCTGTGTGTCAATGTTTATAGAATTGTCGTGTGATTATTGCTGTGTGTTATAGATGTTTTAACAAATGTTGATAATGTAAACAACAAGAGCTAAACAAATGACTATCGCTGTCTGCTTCACAAACTAACTATAGCACCTAACCTAACCTAACCTACCCTACCCTACCCTACCCTAACCTAACCTAACCTAACCTAACCTAGCCTAACCTAACCTAACCTAACCTAACCTAACCTAACCTAACCTACCCTACCCTACCCTACCCTACCCTAACCTAACCTAACCTAACCTAACCTAACCTAACCTAACCTAACCTAAATTAAATCATACGAGTAAAGAAAGTGATCAAGACATTACAGCTGGCAGGATATTTTGAGTTAATTGAAGTTATATGTTTTTTTTTATTCCTTGGCCTTCAGGGTAACCTTTTGTTCATCCATTAGTCTGTCTGTTTGCTTATCCTCCTAGATAGAAGATAGTAACCTGACCTAGCCTAACCTAACCTGACCTCACCTGACCTGACCTCACCTGACCTATACTTTTTAAATACTTTTCTAAATATATTCCACTAGAAAATAACATAAATTTTCCTTCTTTTTTTTTTGTCAAACTGATCAACTGTTGAGAATATTTTGAAATAGATTTTGAAATGTAATAGAAAATATTTTGTCGGCTGTAATGGCCAACTAACCTCAGTAAACAATAGTTAAACCACTTTATAAAACCTGCTTCTCGTCCTGTTATTAAACCTATTGTTATTATTGTGTTTTTGTTATGTGTTTGTTTACTAATAGTCTCTGTTATTTACCCTCATAACAATAATATCAACGTGTGTTTGTTTGTGTAATTATTGTTATTATTATCCGTATTTCTTGTTATTTTGTATTTTTGGCTCACTATTATTATGGTAGTACAGTGACTTATGGTGGTACAGTGACTTATGGTGGTACAGTGACTTCATTACAGGATCATGTATTATTAATGAACAGTATTTCAGGGCAGGTTGTATTAAGGTCTTGTTATTGTGGTATAAATTATTTAAGTTCTGTATTACACGAAGTCCATTGAATATACTACACTCTTACAGTAGGTGTAATGAGGTGTAGTCTACCCCAGTGGGTTTTATCACGGTGTACACAAACTTGTAAGGTGTATCACAGGTGAAGTTTAGTGTTTCTTCGAGTAAACACACACACACACGGCCACAGATAGGTATACTACACGGGTATGTGGTATACTCTCTTAATGACTCTTATACTCCAGGTATGAGTTGTTTACACTGACAGGTGGCGAGAGGACAGGTAAGTGATGCCTCCTGTTTTATTACTTTGAAACACCTTCATTATGGCTCCCCAGAGAGTAAGATATTGGTGTTAATGTTATGCTACAATATTTTGGTGGGAAATTATACATTGTGGTGCAACCTTTCTGATTAATCCCG